AGAGACTTCTTCAGTCTGAGAGTTTGCCTGAAACTCTCAGACTGAAGAAGTCTCTTGGAGGAGAGACGAAACGTTTCATTAGAGAAGAACCCGTCCAGAGGACCTATACAATTTTTTTCCTTTTGATTTTTGTTAACTAAAAGAAATAAGAACTGTAATAAAATGAAAAAAAAAAAAACTACCTAAAACTTTATAATCTTTTTACGAAACTAACTAACTGAAATTATAGGTAGAATATCCTTAGTTTCAGTGTTTGTCAATTTATTTTGAGCCATGTGGATCTTTTTATTTATTTTTCCAAATTAAGTAGTTTCACATTAGCTGTGGTCCATAACACTTGTTTACAGTCTGCTGCTGCTCAGCATCGCCTGCCAAATGATGACAGCAAAATTTGAGAGAAAGCGATGTCCACTTTGTGATTTATTTGAATATGACTGTGAGAAAAATCAAAGCAAGTGTCTTGTAGTGGAAGCAGGTGATAAAACAGGTGGAATAATTCTCAAAGGAAATGATGGCTAACTATGACAGTCTTGACACACTAGCTTCTCTCAGTAGCTCCTGTGAAAAACAAGCAGCAGGTAGCACCGAGTTACAGACAACTATTGTCATCGTCCTAAAATAATATTTTAGTTGGCAAAATTGAGTTATACAATTATTTTAGGAACATGTCGCTATAACAGACTGCTTTAACTTTAGTTAGTTAACTCACAGGAACATCACAAGCTGGAGGATGTATTGGCAAATATGTTTATTCAAACTATTAAAAAAACTAATACTAGAACTAATAAAAACTAAACTAAAACTAAGCATAAAAAATGCAACAATAGCTAATAAAAACTAGCAAATCCACAGTAACAACTAATTAAAACTAACTGAATTAAAAGGAAAAAAGTCAAAACAAAATAAAACTAAACTATAATGAAAAATCCCAAACTGTTATAACCTTGCTCTGGATATGTAAACTTATTTGAGGCTATAACTTTGGGTTTGTCAGCAACTGCTTTTACAGTCTGATTGAAACTGGAGTATTATCCAGAAAAAAGCTAGTATAGATTTGTAAAAGCAAATCGTACTTCATGATTATTTGCTTTCAGGAAGAAGGCGTAGATGTGATGAACAGAGAAACTGCTCATGAGCGGTGAGTCCTTTCAGCTCATAGATGAAGACATTTTGACACAGGTAAAAGATTAAAAACTGTAATCATGTTTTCGTACACAGGGGAGTTCAAGCTGCCATGCAGATGAGCCAGTCTTGGGAGGAAAGCCTCAGTCTGGTAAAAACAACAACTCCTTTTTACTTGTCCAAACTCCACGTGCTGTTTTTGATCTGTTGTGTTTTTCTTCTTCCTGTGAATCCTGCTGTATTTTGGACGTGCATGTTTTGGCCTAAGGCCATTTGTTTGGCCTCTCTATGACTGTAGAGAGGTCAAGTGAAAACATGCTAGACTAACATCCAAACATTTGGGAGTTATCAGGGCCACCAGTCTTTCAAGCCCAGACTGAGTTGGTAGTATAATACTCCCACAGTCTTTGTATTTGGAAAATTACTAGAACTTGTGTTCTTAGATCTGTTCAGCTTTTCTTTGTTTTGTGTTCAGAGTGACAATGATTTGGAAAAGTCAGCGTCTTCGTCCCCAAAGCGGATCGACTTTGTTCCCGTGTCACCTGCGCCCTCTCCAACCAGAGGAATAGGGAAAAAGGTGAACCTGCTAACACGCACGCAGAGACCACATAGGCCTGTCACAGTAAACAATAAATCAATTAATCGTATGATAAATAAAATTTAGGAAGGTAAATTAAAATGAAGACAGTAAATTTAATTTGCTAGCTTGTTTGTTTTCTTTGTGTCTCCCTCTTTTGAGAGGAGTGAGCTCTGGTGTCAGGTTGCCAGGTGCATGGTCTCCTAGCCTCTGTAGCATGAAAGCCTGTGAACAGGCCAGTTTTCTGATGCTTTCATACAGCTGGCCACGCCTTGAAACTGCCGACAGTTTTTTAATTTTTACACTATGTAAACTTTAATGTAAACTTCCATAAACAGGGGGGTTATATTGTTAAATTAGTTTAAACTGATCTCCAACAATATTATCGTTTATCGCAATAATTTCTGAGACAATTTATCATCCAGTAAAATTTGTTTTCGTAACAGGCCTATGGCCACATTTAATCTGATCTTTCATGTAAAAACGTAAATAAATACATAAATTACAATCTGTTGGGCTTTCATTCTTCCTCCTCTTTGGGTTGAAATCACTAATGGCAGACTCACATTGACTGAACACCATGACTGTGATTTGTTTACTTTTTAAAGGTACCAGTGTAATCTCTGTCCTGCTTTAAAGAAACACATGCAAATTCCGCACTAAAACGTGCTGCTCAATCAAGAGTAGAGTGCTGTGACTTTCAGGAGCGCTACGTTGCACGATGAAGATAAAATCTGCAAATAAAATTGGGAAAATAAAGTTAATTTTGATCAATGGCATCTTGACAGATCACATGAGAAAGCCCAGCCCTCTTTGGAACTCTTTATTTTCAAAACAGGAAGTGAAGAGTATTTTGTCTTGTTATATTTCCTACATTAATGTTAAACAGGTTTGTTAAAACAGGACACTTCAGCACTTTGTGTTTTACATGATACATTACAGCTTTTTTAGTTTGCATTTCTGCCTGCCTCTTGTTAACTTGACAGGGAGTGACATCCAGATGTGTGTCATTTTCTTAGTGAACTTTATGAGCCACCGACAGCAGCTTGAACTTTTGATAATGGTATACCTTTTACACATCTTACACAATTTATATTTATAAGTGTTTACACATTATCAGCAATGGCATCCTTCAGAATTTCCTCAAATTTTTACAAATTATTTTAACCGTTATATAATCTCTCTCAGCGTGTGTTGATTAGGAAAGAGGAACACAGGGTAGTTTAAACCATAAGGGAACTTCTTGTACTGGTTTGTTTCTGTGCTGCAAACAAACTAACAGCTGAGCCATGCTAAACTCTGTTAAACTGAAAGTCTGTGTTTTCAGCATCCTTAAGGAGTCCACCATTGTAACAGAAACTGTTCTCAATCAGTTTTTTATCTCCATTGTTCACAGATTCTTGTCCTGATTCCAGTCATCTGGGAAAATAAGCAAATTCTTAAAATAAAAGAGAGCAAAGTAATTCATTTGATGGACAGATCTGTCTCCAGTAAGGGTTTTGAACGACTCCAGATCTGTTTGACTTCATGTTTGGTTTTGTTTCCCTCTCTTTCGAGCAGCAGTGTTTCTCTCCTTCACTACAAATACTTGTCAGCAGTAATGGCCTCACACCCAGCCCCATACCCAGCCCCACACGCCGCTTTAGGTTGGTTCATTAAAAAAAAACGTTTCAATATGCTCTGCTGTTGACTGAAATTACTTTTTGATTAGTTTATATAATTTAGCTGGTTGTAGCTGTATTTTAAACCTTTGTCTTCCTGTTTTTCTTCAGCCGACGGAGTCAAAGCCCAATCAACTGCATCAGAGCCAGCATCCTCGGCCCAATAAAGCGTAAAGGTGGGATGTTTCGTGTGCTTTGAAATCTTTTACAAAGTTTCTTTGAAAGCTTAGAGAAATCATTTTTAAAACTTCCTCACACAAACTTCAGTCGTCTTGTTGACACACTTTTTTTTACGTTTGTGTCCAACATTAGAGAAAAGATAAAACAGATGTTTGACGTTAAAAGCATCACTGCAATCAGTTCAGATTTGTTTTATGCTTAATCATGCCAACATTTGTCACTTCATATTCATCTTTACTGCTGCAATAAAAAAATACAATTATAATGTGTCCCCCAAACAAAACATCATCATAAAAGTTAAACACTTTTTATTTTGCAATATGCATTTATTTTCTTCACTGTTTCTTGCCTTGTGGGAGACGGTATGAACATTTAGAGTGAAGTGTGTGTTTCCTTATCAAAGGCAGCTACAAAACGACAAATGATTGCTGAATAATTTTTAATTTTAATGTGTGGTCTGTTTCCTCAGCAGGAGAGATGGAGACAGAGAGTCAACCTAAAAGGCTCTTCCAGGGTACGACCACCATGCTGTCCTCAGACGTGTCCAATCTGTCAGATCTCAGTTCCTGGTAAGATCCTGAAAGATTAAAAAAAATTTTTTTGCTACTTTCCATTTTCTATTGAAGCTCTTTTCAACACCAACTAGGAAATGTTGATACCCAAATATGGTTTGACATTTTCTTTTCAAATGACTTAAAGTAATTCTCATTAGATTACCCTAAAAATTACCCTGGCCCTTGCCCACAGTTCCGCTCAATTCTAGTTTCCCTTCATTGCTCCGTCTGGGATTTCTCCCATAGACAAGGATTTCTTCAGGAGAATTTTATTCGGGCCAATCAGCGAACAGAAGGCGGAGTTTTGAACGACATTGATGTTCTGCGTAATGTCTGCTTGTTAGTTTAGCATACGGCAGTGGAGGAAGTGAATGAAGCCAGTCTGTGTTGATAAGGCTTCCAAATTAATTTAAATTTGTCTGACAAAGCAGCAGCTCTCATTTACAGTCGTCTCGTTCAGCTCGGTACTTTTCTCCTCTCAGTAGGGTTGTTTACAACACCCAATTTCCATTTAGCTTTTTAGCTTAGCCTCCTTCACAGCGACATATGTCGC